AACTGAGCGCACAATGCCGCCGTGAGCGAACAAATGGGAAAGGCGGCGCACACGCGACGCGCCCTGGGGGCACCCTTTACGCGCGGCTTCGGCGGCAGATGCAGGGGAGGCGAGAGTTGCGTTCGGGAGCCAGCCGCCTGCCTGCCTGCCTGCCAGTCGTCCTTGAGTCAGACTCGCTAAGCCGTGGCTCTCCGCCAGGAGCCACCCTGCGCAGGCAGCGCCTGCAGGCAGCGCCCGAGGCTCCCCGGCGTTGCCGAAAGAGTTAAGTGGGTGGAGTCGCGGGAAGCCAGGGAAAAAGGAGGCAGCTCGGAAGAGGCGCTGCCACTGAGCCCGGAGCGGAGTGTCCCTGGGCAGGCCGGCGAGCGAAGGAGAGAGCCGGGGATACCGGCGCTTGGTTGCTGGTGACGCCTCGCAGGCCCTCGTCCCCAGCATGGAGGCGGTGCTGGGCGCCTTCTTGCAGCTCCTGAGCTTCTGGTTCGCCCTGGCGTTCCTGCTCATCGTGCTGCCCTCCGTCTTCGGCTTGTCGCTGGGCATCTCGGAGTTCTACCTCCAGGTGCTGGTCAAGATCCTCGAGGTGAGTCGGAGGGGGGGGGGCTTCCCCGGAGGGGTGTGCCAGGAGGTCGGCGCAAGGCGCAGCTTATCGCTCCCCTTCCCCAACCCCCGCGCCTCGACTTCATGATTAAGCCGGGCGACGACGCCCCATCGGCAGGGGATGGTGGGGAGTGTTGTCAGGAGCGTGGAAGGAAAGGTTGGCCAAAAGTGCGCTTTAGCTGCGCCTGCAAAGCTCGCCAAAGGCTGACCTTTCCCGCGTGATTCAGCGATCTCTTAGGCGGCGGAGGGAGGCGAGACCCACGTCCCCCCCCTTCTCCACACACACCTTAAGGGGGTCCTTGGCCTTGCCAGGGGAGGGGATCGCGGCCGGGTTGGGATCCGGAGAATGGAACCCACCGCGTAAACGAGAGGAAATTGCGGGAGCGAGGTTGTTTTGGTTTGCAAACCAGCCTGGGACGAACCGCAGTCTCTTTGCGTTGTTCCCAGAGGATTTAAAAGGACTTGTTAAAAGAAAAAAAAAATCCACCCCTTCAGTACGGAATCCGCTCTCGAGGGATTATATTTCTTAGGCCAAAGCCTTTCCCGGGGAAGCGGTATAGGCAGGTGGAAGAATTGAGCGCATTTTGGGGTGGGAAACTGGACGCTTTTCAAATAAAGACGCCTGCCAAAAAACTTGGGTTGTGCCCAGGGCAAGGCTACCTTGTCACATCTCGAAA